GTGGCGTTCACCAGCATATGTTTGGAGCGCTAGGGCCCCAATTACTGGCGGGAAATCGGCTTCACAAAGTCGCTTGGCTAACAATTGCAAATCAACGCAATCGTAGAAAGTCTCAAGATCGATAAGGATAGCAATCATATGCTTCCCGGCGGTCCGGCTGACTTCCCCTTTTAAGAGCCGATGAACTGCAATCTGCAAACAAGTGTTTCCCGGGGTGGCTTTATCCCAAGCTGTGTGGGCTTGGGTTTCACGAATCCACTTCTGGACTGGACCCCGTCGCACAAAACACCAGAGACGGTAGGTGATGGAGGTGAGGGAGATGGGTCTCTCGATGGTCGGTTTCTTCGGCAACATGCAGACCTGATGCTGTTGCCAATGGATGGGCACAGTTTGGCAGGCTTCACTTTCGTTGAAAACGGTGGCCAGCTCATCATAAGCTTTGCTGGGTAGGCCTCTCAGGCTCGCGTACGTTAGTCCGTCTATCCCCCCAGCCTTATCAGCGACACCATTGGCAATCTGACTGAGATCAAGTGCTTCAATGGGCGGGAGTGGTTGCTGTCTAGCCTTATCCTCAAGGATTTTCCCCGGTCTGAACCCGGGTTCAGCTTCCCCCCAAAGCTCAACCCACTGTGCTCTGCGCAATTTGGCTCGTTCCTCCACGGGTTTATCGCTGAAAGGTCTGGTATACACGGTCTCAGCTTTCGACAAACTGCGGAACAGCGGTCGCATTCCTTTGGCCATACCTGCATGGAGCCAGGCTTTATATTGCTTGAGATGCGCATGACTTGCCTCAACTTGGGCTTCTGCTTCCTTAGCTTCAGCCGTCTGCCTGAGCGGGCCGAGTAGGCTAGCCTGGCGCTGTGCAAAGGTATCACACACCTCGGCAATGAAAGAGGCTTCCTCCGGCCTGCTGGCATCTTTCGCGAGAAAACCTTCAACTTTCTTTGCATCGCCTTGCACCTGCTCCCAAACCCCCGTGCTGACTTGGGCTTGCAGCTTGATGATGCACCTGCGCATGCGACCCCACCAGCCCGCTGCTGTGGCCGGGCTGGCCTGAACACAACGGGTTTCTGGCAAGGTTCCCCACACCTTTTCTACACAGTAGCCTCGGCCTTGCAGGTCACCACGACATTCCTCCAAGGCCTTAGCCCACCTGGCCAAAGCACACGAGACTTTGTGCTCCCCTATTTGTCCCATGATTCTGGGTACGACTGGGCCGACCTGCGGCCAGAATTGGTCACTGACGTCTCCTGTCAACTTGGCGAAATGCTGCAAGCGCCATTGGGGTTGCACAACACCTGCCCCTACAATGGTCAACCGCAGTGCTGCATGCGGTTTCCATGGGACCTGCCAATCCGCTGTCAAAGTGACCGCTGACTCAATGCTTCGGCTGACCAGGACAAAATCCAATTCGTTACCTGATCCTTGCGTGCATGTGATCTCCCCGGTGGCAATTAAACGACCTCGCAATACTTGGCACAGGTTGCTTTCCATAAAGGTATGCGGCGTACAATTCCAATCCCCTCCTATCACCCAGGGCTCGGGCAGCTCGCGCACATATGACACCAGCTGCGCCAGGATTTGCGTGTTCCTGGGGCCCGTTGGGCCTTCAGTGTCTTTGAGGTAGGTAGATGCATACTAAAGTGAAAGCGAGTCCTTGGGCTTGGACTCCGATGGCTTCGAATCCAGCTCCTTCTCGAAGGAATGTATGCTTGGTCCAAGTATCTCTGTGCTTCCTAACAACCCAAGCCACCCCACCTATCCTTGAACCCGTGTCACTGAGGTGTGCAGCCTGTCCTATGAACTTCCACTTCAGTGCTTGCAAAGTGCCCTGCCTGGCCCGGAGCATCTCTGGGCTCAAATGCGTCTCTTGAAGGCCTACTGCTGCACAACCACAGTTCAACAGCCATGCGACAACGCCTTGATTGCACGAGGTCACATTGGCAAAACCTATGGTGAGGTCCTGGCTTTTCTTGTTGGCTGGTGTCGCTTGACTCCATGGCCGGGATGCTCCAGGTTGGCTACTTTCTCCAACAATTTGGGCTGCATGCTCCGGGCTGGGGTGTTG